GATTTCATTTTTAATACAATCAAAAACTGAGACGCAAGACGGCAAGCTGCATTTGAATGAAACGAGAGAGCACGTCCGCGCCTCTGCGGTGATACAAGAGACATGGGGCGAATTCCAAACAGAAGTGAGCATCCCTATGCCCTACTCCCTTCGAAGGGCAGAGCCCTTGAAGTGTGTTCTTTGAAGGGTGCAGGGCATTACTGTCTCGTATAAGCGTTAGGAACTCCCTTGGCGAAGGGAATGACTGACCAAATGTTACCTTGACAACGCTGCGCGTTAAGGTGGCAGAAGGAAGTGATTTATTATTATTATTATTATTAGGGCTTCATGTTAATGTTAATTTAATGTTTATGCTAAAAAAAGTGCATATAGCTGCTAATTGTATTTGTGGTTTGTTGATTTTCAAATATAAAACGTATTGAAATGTTTTCAGTGTGTGTATCAGTTCTTTTTGAACATTTTCATCTAAATTTAACAAAACCGTGATAATATTGATAATCGTGATAACTTTGGTCACTATAATCGTGATATGAAATTTTCATACCGTTACATCCCTAGTGTTGAAATGTGCATGAAACCTTTGTGATGTTTCCTGTCCAGACACTTTAGTGCTCTGAGGAGGCTGTATGGCAAACAGGTGATCATCAACCTGCTGGGTATGAAGGAGGGTGAACACATGCTCAGCAAAGCATTCCAGGTGATTGTCGTTTAGCAAATATTCGGGTTGGTCAGGCTACAATGCATTATTTGAGATGTCTTTCAATACTCAAGTATGACAAAACCATAGAGCAGTTGTTCCGCTTTCTTTACTGTATAAAGACTATCTTTGTCTTCGCCCACAGAGTCACCTGAAAGCTTCAGAGCATACGAACGCTGTGAGAATGTTGAACTTTGACTATCATCAGATGGTTAAAGGTGGGAAGACTGACAAGCTCAGCACTGTCCTGAAACCTCAGATCGGCAAGTTTCTGGAGGACTGTGGTTTCTTCTGCTACTCAGGGGAGGCCGGCATTCAGAGGTGAGGTTATATAACATCCTAACACAGCTTGTTGTGGAAGAACAATATCATAGAATAGCAGAAAATTTTCAGCATCAGGTTGTTTATTTAATTTGTTGTGTGTTTACTTGAAAAAGACTAGTGGATATATATATATTTTTTTTTATCACAGCCAGTAGAAATTAAGTGCTATTTTTTGCCATTAAAATTATATATATAAATGATCTATGCATATATGCACAATATGATGCATTTTATTGTGGATCATTGCTGGGAGGTTGCAAATGTTTGTTTTATTAAGGTTTTTTTTTTT